AAACAAAAAAATAAATACACAAAAAAACCACGAAAAAATGCTAAAGGCACAACATCCAAGCAAACAGGAAATTTTCCAGGGATATCAGTGATATATCCAACACCTAAAGGTTACGAAACTCATAAATTTGTCGCCAGTGAAAATGCACAATATAAATCATCACCTTCACCAGTTTTTCATTTGGGGTTAATGACAGTTAACAACAATTTAAATGAAGATAATCCGAATTTACAAGCAGCAACGCCAACTGCAGATTCTTTTTGTTATCAAACCTCAACGAATATTGAACAAAATAGTTTCATTAATCAATTTGTTATTCAACAATTTCTTCTTTCGAATAATATGACAACTGGGATTTGTCACCCAGAAACCGAAACCGAATTCTAAAATGGGTAAAACTTTCTCAAAAACTGTAAGAAATAAATGTTTATTCATCGTCACCGAAATCATTTATCATGTAAATTTCTTTCTATATATTTTACAATTTCATTATATAATTAAGATCTTTACAAATTTAATAAGAAAAAAGAATTTTTGTTATGGGCAAAATCTGATTCGCTATTTACAATTTTAATAAATATTTCTATATAACATCATAACGATAAGTCATATATTTCTATATCATACGTACGAATTTACTATAATTTACTATAACTATATTTACTATATCTGATATAACATTTACAATATAATATTATATATATGTATAATTTACTATAATTTACTATAACTATATTTACTATATCTGATATAACATTTACAATATAATATTATATATATATATATATATAACTATATCGATATTGTTCGATTATAATCACGTGCATGATTTTAAACTATCCATATTTAACCAAAAAGGCTAAGTCCATCTAATTTATACAAAGCCACTCTTAAATCGATAAAATCACATCAATTTTAACAGTGCATTTTTAACAGTGCATGTGCACATATTACACACCATACCGATAGTTTGCTATTTTCATTTCCTGCGTCTTTTTTTTGATCATTGAAGGTACTGTACGTATCAATGATAATGCAGCAGCAAAGTTCTTTCTTGTCTTGTCAATATTACCTATACAAAATATTATACAAAATATTATACAAAATATTATACAAAATATTATACAAAATATTATACAAAATATTATACAAAATATTATAC